AACCAATCACACACAATTCTGTTGAGCTTAGGAATGCAATGGCCAATCAGAGGTGTTCAGATGAATCATCGTTGAAACAGATCAGTTTTGTTGAGAGCGCTCGCGTTCGCTGACTGAATTCCGTGAATTCTCTCATCATAAACAACAAAGCTGAGGCTGTGTATACAGCTTCAGTGATTATAACGATAGTTTTGTTATTTTTTGAGAGTGCTTAAACTTGCTATAGATCAAAGTTAGTGATAATGTCACTTTCTATATATAATTTATTCGCTGTTTGAATAACTGTGGAAAGGAAACGTTATGTAACGTTATATAGCCTAATTATCAATTTCTAATGTTTTTATTAAATTGTAATCGCGTTAAATACAAATTCAGTCCCATTAAACATTTTATTAGCCAACATGACACCCATGTCTGGTTGTTGCCTAAAAGACGGGTTTATGATGTTTAATACATTTGGCTGCTTTTAGCCTTACCCTGGAGTTGGTTCACCCTCCGCCTATGTCCCTAATTTGTTTGTTCTTTAGCAGCAGTTTTTTACGGCAATATTTAAATAACACCCTGGTCATTCTTGGTGTACGCAAAATGGTCCCACACTATCGACAGGCATTTCTCTGGTGGAAATAAAGCTTCGCTGTTTGGTCCCTCTGTCACAGTTAATCTAATGCGTGTCTCTGATAAGCACGTCATTTTAAGCTGGTGCACCTTTAGTGTAACTTTGTTTCCATTTTGCAAAATAAGCTGCAACAGTTCCATTCTGTGTAACAGAAACACTCGGTTTAGCAGAACCTTTACGATTAATTAACCGTGACGTTTTAAAGCACGATTAATCGCGAAACCAGTTAATCGCTGCATCCCTAGTCGAGTATTCGATCTTAAAGGGGTCATGAACTGCTTTTTTTCTTTTTTCTTTTTATGATGTTTCCTTAGGTGCACTTATGAATAACTGGCCGTTTTCTACCCTGCTTTTAGCCCTCTGATTTGAATACTGTGTACATCTTAAAGGGGACATCGGATGCCCATTTTCCACAAGTTGGTATAATTCTTTAGGGTCTTCATGAAATGTCTGCAACATACTTTGGTTAAAATTCCTCAGTGGTCGTGTAAAATAACACCCTTTTTACCATGTCAAAAACAGCTCTATTCACAGCAACCCGTTTCGGTGCATGTCTCTTTAAATGCTAATGAGCTCTGCTCATCACGCCCCTCTCTTCCGTGGAAGAGGAAAGGCGAATTGCACCTAATCATAAGAAATATAAAGTGTGGGACTTACTTCTTCTGGAGGTGCAGCTGGATGATCCATCCTTGAGTTTGAACTTTTTAGCAAAACCTGCCTTGAA